GTTAATATGCGTTTCTGTACTTTATTTATATTTATAACTTACTGATTTCATAAAAAAACTGTCTTTTATAAACAAATTTTGGTACTAATTACATATATACATTGAGCAAATAGATGCTTTTTCTGCTTTTTTGTAAAACATCCAAAATGGGCTGAAAAGATAAATATACAAGTTCATCGAACTGTCTAATCAAAGATTGACCTGCGGGCGGCGGCGGCGCCCGACTGTTTGACTTGTACTCGCAAGATGAGACAGATGCGAATATCGCTCAATAAATGTTTTTGTCAAATAAGAATTCGTAATTTAAACAAAAAAAATAGTAATAATAATAAATCACGCGGATTCATACATTTTATCCATTTATTTCCCATAAAAAAAATTGTACATAAACTTTTGCCTTTTTTATTACATTCACTGTCTTGAAAATTATTTTTCTAAATTGCTGTTGTTTTGTGAATCAGCGGGGAATAATTAAACTCACACACACTGTAGTTTCGCGTGAATAACTTATTGTGCAGTTTATTCAATTTGACGATTATTATCAATTACGACACTGCGTTGCGTTCGTACATTCGCGTCGATGGCGCGTCGAAATGCTATTTTTAGTCGGTCCGTAGACCGTATCAATCGCGGATCACGGCAACACCTGGGGGACAGTGCCCTGAGCCGGACCGCGAGATTCGAGACAGCGCCTTGGGGCTGTAGCCCTGGGTCTCTATTTACGGATCCGCGACGACGCCTGGGGGCTGTGGCCCTGAGTCGCGGGTAGCTCGTTCACGCACTGTGCACAACACGACTTGGCTCGCGAGAGATATCTGAGACTCAATATTTCGTCGTCCGACAGCTTCCGTGGCTACTGATCGAGTGAGTCAAATCGTCCTTCCGTCACTGACGATCATTGTCCGCCCCACCATCCAGGGTTGATTTTCATTGGCGCGGTCGCTTCACAGAGTTTTCCTTGTTTTTGCGGCGGCCGTCTTTTGGACAGCCGCCTCTGTCGCCGAATGTTAGATCGGCGCCGCGTGGAGATCTCAAACGAAGCCGCAGAAATCTCAAGCGGTGCCGCGTACGCGTGTGCAAGGGTGGCCGAGCTGTCCGTGTTTGTAAGTTCGAACGTTCGTTAATTGTATGTATGTATCACATGTATTTTCGTATGACGCGTGTCGTGCACGACCCTCGGTCTCGTCGTTACAGCTGTGTATTAAAAATACAATTTCTACATTTAGAATATTATGAATAATTGCCCTAGATCAAATTATTTATAATATTCTAACATTTCTAAATGTGGAAATTGTATTTTTAATACACAGCAATTCAGAAAATTAATTTTCAAGATAGTGAGTAAAATAAATAAGGGAAAATGTATGTACAAGTTTTTTTTATGGAAAGTAAAATGGACAAAATGTATAAATCCGCGTGATTTATTACAATTATTTTTTGTAAAAATTACAAATTTTAATTTGAAAAAAAAACTTGTCGAGACTCGAACCGGTACGCAGCGATCTCGCTCTTACGAGACAGGCACGCTGCCGCCGAGCCAAAGGAGCTTTACAAGAGTATCTGTTCGGAACTTACTGATATATTTGTGATTTGTGATTTATTAAAATAAAAAAAATATTAATAGCTCATCTTTACATAAAATCGCTTTCGAGCGAAAAAATCAAAAGAGTCAAACATTTCTCTTACTACAGTAATTTTTATTTATTCCTTGTACAATGTATTTAATCCGCGTGTATTTGTTATGCATAATCATATGCACGCGTATCACGACAGCATTTAACATTTATATTTCAAAATTGCATTTTAGCTATCTTTTATCTCGCTGCCAGAAATCGCTCGAAATCCTCTTTCTGAATTTCGGCAACGCAGCGAGACAAAAAACGGGACGGGAGAGAGGGGAGTGTGTCCGTGAGGCAAACAAACTCGCCGCTCGAGCTCCGTGTTTGTTAGCTGGTGGTGAGACAAGGACGACCGAGATTGATGTCCGTCCTTGTTTAACTAACCTACTCGCATTCCTGCACATAGCACGGAACACAACCGCTAAATCGTGGACATAGCACGGATCACCACCAAAAATTCGTGGACATTACCGACAATTTCGTGGACATTGGCTATGTAGTTCAATGTCCACGTTTTGTGGACATAGAGGCACTGAAACCAGCTCAATCGCCTGTCCCAGCTAAATCGCGGGCATGGCCGCTCTCAGGATCCTCTCTGAGCCGTACCTATAATGTACATACAGCGCCTAATACATCGTGATGCAATATTTCCCCCGTGAGATACAAGTCCGTAGATATTCCTTTCAATATCGACGTGCCCGCTCCAACGCACAGCGCAACGGTTTTAATGTTACCGTCTAAAATGTAGTAATAATGACGCAAAATAGCAATTGTAT